GCTCAGTTGAGGATGCTGCCCTGCTCAGTGCCCTCACATTGCCCCGGCATCCCAGAGCACTGGGTGGAGGAGGCTGGAGGGCACACGGGCTGTCGCAGAGACAGCTGCTTTTACAGGAACTGCTAAAGCAGATAAAGGCTAGAAGGAACTGGATCCTTCCAGTCATTGTTGAAGAAACAAAATTTAGGCTGTCATCATATTAGTGTATGTAGTAGTGTGGGTATGGTCTTCTATACAGATTTGCTGTTCTCATACAGCTCTCTTAGCTAGGAAGTGTGCAAATGGGATTAGATCTTAACTGCTAATTAATGGTGTGCCACAGTATTATGCCGAGAGAAGAAATTCCTCAGTGAATTTTGCTCTCACTTACGCCTGCTGGCTTTTAAATGACTTCTCTAGCACTTTCAGCAGAGCTGTAGCTCTTGACAATGACGGTGTCATCAAAGTTGGAAAGATCCAAGGATGTACTTGCATGTAGAAGAAGGGATGAACAAGTTCTTTGGTTAGTTTTTAATTCAAAACCTCTATTTATTTAGACCGAAAAAATATATTTTGTTCTCCCTGTATCTCACAAAATGTGCCTGGTGGTTTGTATATTGCATCGAGTGTCTGAATGACTATCTAATGAACTAAAACAGTCATTAAAGAATAAGATATTAATGAAGAAAGATCACAGAACTAGTTTTCCAGAAAATAGAAGTGCAGAATGCAGAAAATGATTGAACACATATATTCAGTAAAAATTTCTCATAAATGAGCTTTCTGAGGCACTGGAATCCCTTTAGAATGTGTTGTGTTGCTTTTATAAAGTAATTTCAAAATCCAAATGTTGTTTAATACCGAGTCTGGTGCCTCACAGGAGCTGTCATATCAGAACTGCATTGACGTATGGACTTGTAATTTCATATGGAAATTGTATCAAGTTTATTTAACAAGACCTGATTTTTAAAAATGTGTTGATTGACACATACAGTGCCATCCTTTGATTCCTTATTGCCTGAGTATTGTATTATCTCTCACACAGTCTGCAGTTCTTATTTATATTTAAGCCTTTTATGTCATTCTCACACTGCAAAGGCATTTTAGAATGAGTGTAAATGTAATTTATACAATTTTGAACATCCATTTGTATTTCTCAAATGGTGTAAAGATGAGCAAATGAAGATCACAGGCATGGTTATTTTTCAGTGACTTTGTCTGTGTTTAAAGCTGTGGACTTCTCTGAGAGCCTCTACAGATTATTTTGGATTCCAGGAAGTATTACTTCTTCCAAAGTGGGTGACAATAATTGGAGTGCCTATCTTCTATCTCTCACTATATAGGTTTTCTTCACTCTTTCTGTTACACAATGGTTGTAGATGTGACATCCTGTTATGACATTAAAAAGTTGAAATTTCTAGGAGATAAAATCTCTGTTAATACAACGTCCCTTTGAATGTATTTCCCTGGGAAGTCTACCTAAAAATTCTCCTGAAGGAGAATCTGAAGCCAAGTTAAGCAGATTGTATTTTGATTTTTTTTTTTTTTCCTGAGACTGTATCTTCCTGCTGTAAATGAGCAACTTCAAATTCCTCCCCTTGAAACTTCCTTTTCAATTTACTTTGCAACAGCATGAGTTTAGTTTAACAAAATTTAGACTTCCGTTAATGAAGTTGTTATACACAAAAAAGATGGCTTACCATCTTTAAACAGTCTTGCTGACTGTATAGCAGAAGTGCTGATGGGGACTTAGAAAGGACACTGTTTTGAACAACAGAACTGGAACAGGTCCAGAAGCAAATGAAGCCAAGACTGCAGTGCTCTGTCAGGCTGACCACAGCGTGCGAGTAGGATTGAGCAAACCTTGGAAAATGACAATAAAAATGCATTTAAACAATTGGGGGAAATACACAAATAGAAATATAGTTTTCATACAAAATGAGTTAAATTAGTGTTTCTTTAGTACAGTTTTATTCCACAGGTGTGGTTGTAACAGAATCATTTGACTTGGGCCCCTTAAATGTGATCTAGTCCAACTCCCCTGCAATGCACAGGGACACCTCCAGCTCCATCAGGTTGCTCAGAGCCCCATCCAGCCTGACCTTGATTGTCTCCAGGGATGGGGCTCCACTACGTCTCTGGGCAACCTGTT